ACTATTTGTTGAGATTGCCAGATTTATAATCAAACGCAGTGAATACACACATTTTATATATATATATAATATAAATAGCTATTATTTTGTTTACCGGAGGAAAATGCAAGAATTGTGTTAGATTGCTCTGTGTTATGACTGAGGTCTGCAGTGTGTGCATGTGTTCACAGAAAATTCTGGTGCTCTTTTACAACACCTGTCGGAGAAAATGTGACGCGTCTCAACTGTTCGGTCCACTAGATCAAGGTACATCAAGCTGAACAGCAGAAATTGCCAAAAACTCTTGTTGGGTCTAAATATAAACAAAATTTTTGTGTGTGCTTTATTAAATTTTTTAATGACTTTTTCTGTCGGAAAATCATTTTAAAATCTTTAAAATTTGCTGCTAAATGTGTTTTAAAGCTATATTGGAGAACGTCTTTGTTCTGTGATGAATTTATTTGTCAAATCTTTGATTGCGAATATCTCAGTACTTTGCTTCTAACAGCAGTGAAGCATTCCAAAATTGAATGTGTGTCATTTCGCTAAATGTTATCGTATTCATTTGATATTGGTGTCATATGAAGGGGAATTATGTCCTCTTCACATGTATACCAAAAACTCAAATAATGAAATCTGTAGGCCTACCTAGTGGACCAAACCGTCGGGACTCATCACAAATAGTTCTGGAAGAAATTTGACGCTATTGATGTCTTTTACTAATGGCTTTAAAATGCTGACTGTTTTAGAATCATATCTGCTGTAATATATTTTTTAATATATCTATGTGTCCATGTATATATATATATTGAACATGTTAACAGTGCATAATGTTGAAATGATTTATATTATTTACAGTTTGTTTTAAATGCAGAGGCACAATAGAATCTGCTTAACAGACTAAGACCTGCACTTTTTATTTCTCTGTTCTCAGCGAGGTAATTAGCTCCACGTTCCAGATACTAAAATCTCAGAACCGCACGGTACATCTGTTGTGTCCATGAATATCAACCACCGAACTATGAGTATTTGTTATCTGAGAGGTTTTTAACTGACGAACTTTTGCTTGCCTCAAAAGTATTATTACCCTAATAAAGTTGCATATCATTTGTTGTTTCTCTTTGTGTAGGTCAGAGGTTATCGTTGTGAACATGAGTGCCTGGTTGCTTGTTGCTCCCCAAATTGAGGGTTGTTTTAGTTTAGTTTTAGTAGAGTTTTTATGGCGCTCGCTACTGCATGAGGTCATATGAGCGCCAGAGGGTTATTTTGAGAGGAAACTGTCTTGTGTAAGAAAGGGTTGTTTGTAGTGGGTGCCGGGCTGAGACATGGATTTATTGTAACAGATTAAAACTACTCTAAGGTATGGAATAAAAGGAGGGGGGGGGTAGGAGTAAAAGGGAGGGAGGGGGGAGACAAGTGGTCCAAAAATAATCAACAGTGGTACATTCACCCACATACCCCTGTACTAGTAGGAACAAATCTGTTTTATTTCTCTTTCAGTGAATAAAAGAATAAGAGATCCTGAAATTTTAGTGATTTTAGTAAGTTACTGTGACAACTTTTCCCACTTTCATAAAAAATATAAACCAACGTACAAAAGTTTTTAAAATGCACTCGAAATTGAGGTAGCCAACCCGGTACCGGTACTAACACGGAGGGTAATGTGCCATTTACAAAAAAACCTCCAGAAGTCTCATTCAGATATCTAGAGTCTAGATAGATCTATATTGTTTCACAACATCGTCGGTCATGTCAAGGGGGAAAATAATAAATGGGGGGGTATGGAATAAGGAGGGGAAGGGGTGGGGGTGGGCAAAAAAAAACCCTGAAAATTAATAGGGGGTGGGGGGGGGGGGGGGGGAAGTTTATTCAATACCTCAGAGTAAATTTGTAGGTTTTCACAAGACTGTGCCTTGAACTCGTAAAATTTGGACATTCTCGTGTCTCATTTAGACATAGTTTTGTTGGTTGTGTGTATTGCTTGTGACGTTGACAGTGCTTGAGAGAAAGAATTTCTTCAGTTTTTTAATGGGGAGGATGTGACAGGATGGTGCATCAAATCTGGAGATATGGTAGTTCTTATTTGATGAAACGTGTACTGTCATGTCGTGTCTGGGCTTTGAGACTCCTGGGGGGGGCTGGAGGTGTTGATTACACGGGCAGTATTGCATACAGACGTATCTCAAAGGCACACCAAAATTGACTTACGTCTGTATGCTAATATTGCCGGCAATTATGTGATCGTGTCATTTTTGTTGTGTTGTTGTTGTTTCTGTTGTTGTTATTGTGTCTGTGTGCGCGCGTGCGTGCGTGTATGAGGTCAATTGGTATAGATGGCAACAGAGTCAGTAGTTCGTCTGCTGTGCCTTTCCATGATCCTAGAAGGGTACTTCTGTCATTCAGGGGCAATGACTCTTGTGGAAAAAGACAACGGGTTTAGATTTTGAAGCAAACTGGGTGTTGGGAAAGATGAAAGTTCGGGTTTGAGACGTAGGCCTACACCGAAATTGTCGAAGGTGGTCACCCATTGTTGAGGAAGAAAGTTGTATTAGACAGATGGGCATTTTGGAAGGAAAATGATATTATGATACAAAAATAAATGCAAGGTGGGGGGAGGGGGAGGGGGGCTGGATATTTGTACAGATGTCTTGGGCAGGTGGAAATTGGAGCAGATTTGTAGGTGGTTGGTGGGTGCTCTGGTATGGTTTGCTCCTTCTTTCCTATCAAACATCTATCGTCCTTATCTCTCCTCCTTATTTTTTGTGTTTGTTACTCTCTTGTAACACTTCTATACTTCGGCACTTTTATGACCTTATTGTGTTGTAAGTGCCGTAAAACTCTTACTAAAACTAAAAAGGAGAAAATTCTACTGTATATAATCTCGATTTCCTCCTGCTGTAGGAAGATACGTTTGTTAGGGCATGCAGCAATCTCTTGGGGTTTTCTTTACTAAGTAAACTCGTTTA